AACTAGAGTAACTAAGATAGTGTGCTGTGGATGTAAAGACAGACAGGTAGAACAGTGGGACAGCACGGTGATTCTCCCTGATGTAGTCACCGCACAGGACAAAGGAGGCACTGCCCTGCAGTAAAGAAAGAAGAATGATACTTTCAACAAATTGTACTGATTTAACCGGTTACCTATGGCAGCTGTTGTTATCTTTTATTTCATCTCAAAGTTCTCTGTGGTATTAGAAGAACAGGGAATGTACACATATCTATGATTCTAGCAAAACAGGAAATTTTCTGCTGACTAAAAAAAAAAAAAAGGCCCGCACAGTGGCTCATGCCTCCAATCCTAGCACTCTGAGAGGCCAACGCAGGTCAATTGCTAGAACTCAGGAGTTCAAAACCAGCCTGAACAAAGGATCCTGTCTCTACCCCAAACAGCTGGGCATTGTGGCAGATGCCCGTAGTCCCAGCTACTCAGGAGGCTAAGGCAGGAGGATCACTTGACCCTAAGAGTTTGAGGTTCCTGTGAGCTGTGACACCGCAGCACTCTACCCAGCATGACAGAGTAAGAATCTGTATAAAACAACAGAAAAGAGACAGACTTTTTTGATCATCTCAAAATCTGGATATAAAGTTTGCCTCAGAGCTACTAAATCAAAGAAAAACATTCTGTCCTTAATACTTGACCTACTTTTTTTTTTTTTTGGTTACACCCAAGGAAGCAAGCAGCAGAGGAAGCTGCACAGGCAGAAAGGCAAGTGCTCATTCTGCCCAACACTAGAGGAGACTCCAGCTCAGTGGCCACCAGTAGAGGCAGCAGAGTTCTCTGCATGGGAAAAATTCATGATGTACAAATTAATGATTTGATCTTTCACTGCATTGTTTTGTTTTTGTTTTTGTTTTTGAGACAGAGCCTCAAGCTGTCCCCCTAGGTAGAGTGCTGTCGCATCACAGCTCACAACAACCTCCAACTCCTGGGTTCAAATGAGTCTCCTGCCTCAGCCTCCCAAGTAGCTGGGACCACAGGCACTTGCCACAACACCCGGCTTTTTTTGGTTGTAGCTGTCATTGTTGTTTGGTGGGCCCAGGCTGGATTGGAACCCGCCACCGTAGGTGTATGTGGCTGGCGCCTTAGCCATGTGAGCCACAGGCACCAAGCCTGCATTGTTTTTTTTGAAACCAATAAATTTCCTTTTCTCTGGAAAAGATTAGGTTTCTTGTTCACATTTCTAAAAAATCCTTATTTGAAGTAAATAAATAAATACTGGATTCTCTCCCCAAAAAAAATCCTTATTTGAAAAATAGTGGCCTTGTAGTTAAGGAGAAGAAAAGCCTGGACATCAGAGTCACAAAGCTCCTTTCTGACACCCTGGTCTAGAAGGCAGCCCTCATCAGACACTGAACCTGGTGTCACCTTGATCTGGGATTTACCAGCCTCCAGAACTGAGAAATAAATTTCTATTATTTATGAATTACCATATCTAAGGTATTTTGTGGTAGCAGCACAAATAAACTGAGACTCTAGACCACAAAAGAGTACATTTAATTCCATTATATAAAACTCCAAAAGGTGCAAAATGATCTATGGTGACAGAACATGTCAGTGATTACTTTGGGGGAATAGGAGGAAGAAGAGAGATATTACATAGAAATTCAAGAAAAGTCTTTAGAGTGATGAATATGTTCACTATCTTTATTAGAGCAGTAGTTTTAGAGATATATATAGATGTCAAATTATATCAAATTGGGCTGGTACAGTGGCTCATGCTTGTAAACCCAACAATGCGCAACACAGCAAGACCTCCATCACTACAATAAAGACTTTTTAATTAGCCAAGCATGGTGGCACGTACCTACAGTACCAGACACGCCATAGGCTGAGGCAAGAGGATCACTTAAGCCTAGGAGTTTGCAGTGAGGTATGGATGCCATTGTGCTCTAGCCTAGGGAACAGAATGAGACCAAAAAAAAAAAAAACCTACCGAATTATACTCTTTAGTATGTGCAGCTTACTACATAACAATTATGTATGCCTCAATAAAGCTGTCAATAAAACTGAAAAGAGGCTCAGCACCTGTACCTCAAACAGCTAAGGCGCCAGCCATACACCAGAGCTAGGGGGTTCAGATCCAGCCCTGCCCTGCCAACGACAACAACTGCAACAAAAAAATAGCCGGGCGTTGTGGCAGGCACCTGTAGTCCCAGCTACTTGGGAAGCTGAGGCAAGAGACTAGCTTAAGTCCAGGAGTTAGGAGATTGCTGTGAGCTGTGACGCTACAGCACTCTACCCAGGGTGACAGCTTGAGGCTCTGTCTCAAAAAATATATATATACATGACGCTACAGCACTCTACCCAGGGTGACAGCTTGAGGCTCTGTCTCAAAAAAAAAAAAAAAAAAAACTGAAAAGAGTCAACCATGAGTAAGATAGACAAGATTGACATTTAAGTTCAGGAATTCATCCTGGAAAAAGTGCTACGTAACTCATTACTGAATATCACTATGGCAGCTTTCAAAGTCCTCCCCTTGGAAACCAATACACCAACACCAGTGCCTAGTCCACTCTTCAAAGTAATTTTGGGACTCTTTTTCTGGAATGGCCATCAGAGCTGTCATATTACCCTTTTATGTTCTGAATGTAATCAAAGGCATAGGGAAAAACATGGTATTATTATCTTAGGGGGACCACCATCATTTACAGTCTATCACTGACTGAAATGTTGGCATGGAAGTGTGCATTACAGCATATACTTTATAGGTAGTATGTGCAAGCAAAATGAAATATGGTACTCTACCAGGACTTGAACAAAACACATGCAATGTCACTTTAAAAACACCCACAGGCCAAGACTTGACTGAAACATTTATTGACGATATTAACATTCTGTTTTGTTTTGGACTGGTTTGTTTTTGATAGTCCTAACATGAACTTCTGGAGTTCTAAGGTAATACTGGTAAGAGTCAGACCAGTCTGGCTCAAAAACTTGAGATATAAGAATGAATAGTCTGCATTAAAAAAAAAAAAAAAAGATATAAGACCAGTGCTTTGGGAGTCCAAGGTGGGAGACCAGGATTTAGAGAGCAGCCTAGGCAACCATCTCTACAAAATAATAATAATGTAAAAGAATTATATAGTATTAGAGAACTGAAAAGTCACAAAGTGAACACTGCAGTATTATAGAGTAATTGTAAGAAGCAGCAACTGACTCTAGTACAGAAAAACAAAAGGAAAAGTATGAGAAAAGGGGCCCTTCAGATCCGGGCCTCACGGCGCCTGTGGCTCAAGCGGCTAAGGCGCCAGCCACATACACCTAAGGTGGCGGTTCGAATCCCCAGCCCGGGCCCACCAAACAATGATGGATGCAACCAAAAAATGGCCAGGCGTTATGGCTGGCACCTTTAGTCCCAGCTACTTGGGAGGCTGAGGCAGGAGACTCGCTTGAGCCCAGGAGTTGGAGGTTGCTGTGAGTGTGATGCCATGGGGGGGATCTACCCAGGGGGATAGCTTGAGGCTCCGTCTCAAAAAAAAACAGATCCGGGCCTCAGACTTTTGAGAAAATGTGGCTAAAGATTAACTGATAATCTCAGAGGAGCTTGAAGGTAGGAAGCAGCATTCCCAACCTCTGAGGAAATAATGCTGAAAGACTGATGCTGTGTATTTGAAAAGGTAGAATGAGAACTGCAAAGAAAGAAAGAAAAAAAAAATCATAAAATCTGTATCAACTGAATGGACCCCCTCTTGGCCAAGGAGATCCCAGAAAAACCAGTAAAGACTGAGTTCCTGGCATTGAAGTGAAGGGTGGTTGGACATATCTCATACCCTCTCCCTTTTGGAGTTGAGATTAATTGCAAACAGGGCCTAAGGCCTCAGTAAAGACTGAGTTCCTGGCCTTGAAGTGAAGGGTGGTTGGACATATCTCATACCCTCTCCCTTTTGGAGTTGAGATTAATTGCAAACAGGGCCTAAGGCCATGTAAGGTGAAAGTTACATTACCTCTGCAGGCCATCAATTTGCTTAACAGATCAATTTGAGTCTTGTTTATTGTAGCTTGCTCTATGATTACTGACTTCCTTACGTTATTATCTTATTTTCTGATGATTCCAAGCCATGAGACAAAGCTTTATACTTTTTAACCAATTACAAACCAAAGAATCTCTGAGCCCACCTATGTGGCTAGGATAAGGATAGGTTCATGCCCTTCAGACTCCAACAACTAGGGACAGTGCGGCGGTCATAGTTTGAAGCTGAGGTCCCCATTTCCTTACTGGTGGGTGAAGGGAGGTTAACAGTAACAACTCTTTTTTGTCTTTGCACATATCCCAGAACAGGTCATCAAATTCTTACACTGCAGTTCCTTTCCAACCACAGTTAGGAAAGGTTCTCTCTTCAAAAAATATACTGGGGACTCGGCGCCTATATCTCAGTGAGTAGGGCACTGGCCACATACACGGAGGCTGGCAGTTTCGAGTCCAGCCCAGGCCTGCTAAACAATGACAGCTGCAACCAAATTATAGCTAGGAGTTGTGACAAGTACCTGTAATCCCAGCTACTCGGAAGGCTGAGGCAAGAGAATCACTGAAGCACAAAAGTTTGAGGTTACTGTGAGCTGTAATGCTATGGCACTCTACCCAGGTTAACATAGTGAGACTCTGTCTCAAAAAATATATATATACACATATATATGTGTGTGTATATGTGTATATTTTTAATATAAAATATATATACATATATTATATAGGGACGGACTGAGGCAGGATTGTTTGAGATCAGGAACAAGACCCATTTCTACAAAAAAAAAAAAAAAAATTGGCTAAGCATAGCAGCCTGTCCCTATAGTTCTAGCTCAACAGACTGAGATAGGAAGACTGCTTGTGCCCAGGAGTGTGAAGTTGCAGCAAGCTGTGACAACCACACTACACTCTAGCCCAGGCAACAGAGACCCTATCTCAAAATATATTATATATACGTGTATAAATAAATATACATATAAATACATATATAAATACATTCATATGTATATACATGTGCATACATACAGGCCTGACCTGGATAATCCTGGATAATCTTCCCATTTCAAAGTCCTTGTCCATAACCACAAATGAAAAGTCCCTTTTGCCATTCAAAGTTATCTGAGGGATTAGAATATAGACATCTCTTCAGAGCACAGGTATAATCTGGTACTCCTTCACACAATGAACATGTGCAACAACCCAGACCTGAGAAGGGTGTATTACGAGAGGCTCAGTATTCTATACCTGAGCCTTGCTGGGTATTTTTTAAAGAAAGGCCTTGAGAATTAGGTTCACATCACCAGGAAAGTCAAGACTTACCACCATGGTAAGCAAGGACAAAAGGAATTTAGAATGTTGAGTGGGACCTGTATGCTATGCTCTGTAGGTATCTACCAGTTGTGGCCCTACTGCAATGGAAGTTGTAATTTGTCCCCAGAGTTTCTCCTGAGAAAGCCTCCTGCGGAATCATGAACATGCATAGGAAAATATCAAACACGAAGAACAGACAGTAGGAGCCATGAAAGTATACCACTTAGATTTCAAGAAAACCAGCCCTGCAGTCAACTCACAGCCTTCAGCTTCCTCATCTTTGAATTTATGAGGTATCACACTTCCCTCAGGCTACTATCAATGACCCAGCACAGTAGAGGTAGTAGGTCATTCTTTCTAACAGGCAGCTTTTGCTTTGGGACTCCATTAGTGGTGCCAAGACTTTCTCAGTGACATGGTACAGTCTGAGGCCCTTCTTACAAAAGCCTCCTGTCTTCCTTCTAACTAGTAAGAGCTAGGACCTTGGAAGAAAACCAGCTATATATGGCCCTCTCAAAACTTACCACGGCTGAATTTACGAACTTCGGTGTCCGTACCAATTTCAGGGGTGTTACAGACCCTTCTGTGCTCACTTCAGTTCTCACAGAAAGTTAAATTTTTGGACTCCTTATCATAATGCAATGATTAACATCTACCTTAAACTTACCCTAAGATTTAGCATCGAAATAATCTTGACAATGCTTATCTATGTCTATCTTAGTGATCCAGCATCAGGCTCAATTTCTCTGTATGTCTTGTATGTGTTTCTAGCCCTAGAGAATTTTTAGATTGTGAGGAAAAAAAAGGCAAGTAGGGGTAAAGTGCACAGAGTGGAAGGTTAAAAGAAGATATTTAAAAGTAGTGGGCTTAACCAAGTCCTGCACTTTTTCATTTACTTCTTCCAGGTTTTTACCTTGTCTTCCATACCAAAACCATAATTAGCTAGTGAATATTTACTCCCTGGGGTAAAAGTATTATGTGTCCCATTTTCCCCTTCCCATCAAAGACAGGACTCTAAAACCAAGAAAAGAAGATATACTCTCAAATACAAACAAAATATTCATCCAATTCAGATGACTATTTTACATTTTCATAACATTTCCTTTAACATTTAATAGTAACTATATACAATAATTTTTTTACTATATCTTACATAAGAAAGCCACCACAGAAATTTACACAGGTTAGATGCAAGATGGATAGTTAAAAAGGGCCCAGTCCTGCGGTTATTTTCTCAGAGGATAAAAGTCAGGAGTTTACTGGTGAAGGGGGTTCAGACTACCCAGTGAAGTAAAGGTGAAGGCAGGCCTTTAGATGGAGACAACCAGACATTAGGGCCATCAATATCTCAAGGGCACCACTCAGAAACAGCTCCCTCCTGGCCACCTATGTGGATTCCTATCCATGACTTAGGAAATCCCATTACAAAGATGTCTTTCCCCTTAGGCCTAGGCCCAAATACTTAATTCCAGAAGCTCTGACCAGAATTACCTCTCTCTCTTCCTTACTCAGCATGGGAAGAAACCCACAGCTTTTGAAAACTATTGGTCTGTTCTCTCAAAATTTTGTTAACTATAGCACTCAATCCATAAGAAAAACAATGTAGTCTGGGTTGCCCCTGTTTAGTGAGAGATGATCAGAAATATTTGTTTGAAAAATGAGAAATTTAAATCCACTGAAGTCAAATGGTTCCCAAAACAAAAACTATCAACTGACAGAAGTGGGTTCTGGCTTCCCATTTGCAGTTCCCAATCCACTTTGAGGCAATGGTGCAGAGGCTTTCTCAGAACTTTGAGATCCATGGGATCTGCAACCATCTCCAGCCATCTGCATCTGGCCCTGTTAAAAGAAACAAAGGCACTTTGGTTAGAATTCCATTCATTGTGTTCTGAAGTATGAATATGATTTATCAGTGCTCATTTATAGCAGCAAAATAAGACAGCAAAAAGTAAAATAATTCTGGGTAGGTGTGCTTTCCCATACTTGGGCATCCCTGCCTCTGAAACTCAGAAATCATTAACTACAGCATTCCTGAGGCCCTTCCAATGAGAAAGAGAGCTGAAGGTTGTTTCTTCCACATGAAACAGCCATTCTCTGCTGAGATTCCAGAACAGCCAACAGACCACAGGAAGACAGTCCTTTAGGCCTCTGTTTGAAACCAACAGCTACAGAACTGCTGGTCTTCAGTCAGGGCCACTGGTATTCCAACTAAAGGCTCAGAAAAAGAAGTCAAGTCACATTACCAGTCCTTCTACAATAAGAACAATCCCAGTGCTGAATTCTCCCTTAAAAGGTATAATTTTGACTCACACCTGTAATCCCAGCACTTCAAAATCAGCCTGAGCAACACAGCAAGACTCCAATTCTACAAAAATTTTAAAAATTTGCTAGGCGTGGTGGTGCCCATCTATACTCCCAACCACTCTGGAAGCTAAGTAACAGCACTATACCGCGAGCTGTAACAGCACTATACCACTGCTCTATCTATCTAGCCTAAACAATAGAATAAGACCCTATCTCTCCACCTCCCCTCTACCAAAATGTACAACTTAAGATTCTAGGTCCCAACCTTTTATTTAAATAATTTAACCAGGTGCAGTGGCTCACACCTATAATCTCAGCACTCTGGGAAGCTGAGGCATGAGGCAGGAGAAATCTTTTGAGCCCAACAGTTTGAGACCAGCCTGGTCTCTCCCAAAACAAATCCTTTTTTTTTTTTTGTGGAGACAGTCTTGTTCTGTCATCTGAGCTAGAGCACAATGGGGGTCATCATAGCTCACTACAACCTGAAACTCCTGGACTAAAGCAATCCTCCTGCCTCAGCCTCCCAAGTAGCGGGAGTTGTAGGCATCTTCCACAGTGCTTAGCTAATTTTTTCTATTTTTAGTAGAGATGGGGTCTCCTCCTGCTTGGGCTGGTCTCAAACTCCTGAGCTCAAGTGATCCTCCTGCCTCAGCCTCCTAGAATACTAAGATTATAGGCATGAACCATTACACCCAGCCCCCCAATTTTTTAAAACATCCAGGCATGAAGGAACATGCCTACAGTCCTAGCTACTCAAGAGTCTGAAGTGGGAGGGTCATTTGAGCCCAAAAGTTTGAGGCTGCGGTGAGCTGTAAAGACTTTATTACATGCCAGCCTGGGTGACAAAGCAAGACCCTGTCAAATAAAACTGTTAAAAAGTAAAACAGGGGCGGGTGCAGTGTCTCACACCTGTAATCCTAGCACTTTGGGAGGCTGAGGCAGGTGGACTGCCTGAGCTCCCAGGTTTGAGACCAGCATGAGCTAGAGCAAGACCCCATCTCTAAAACTAGCCAGGCACTGTGGCAGGTGTCTATAGTCCCAGCTACTTGGGAGACTAGACCAGAGAATTGCTTGAGCCCAAGAGTTAAAGGTTGCTGTGAGCTGTGACACCAGGGCACTGTAGAGGGCAACAAGTAAAAGTCTGTCTCAAAAAAAAAAAAAAAGAAAGTAAAATAAAATAAAACAGAGGAGAGGAAGCAAGGGGAGAGGAAAGGAGAGAAGAAAAATGAATGTCCTACTCTGGGATATAAGGACCAGGGGCTATTGGGTATTCTAAGAGCCGATCTGGAAAATTGGAGCAACAATGGCATCCAGGAGCAGAGAAGGGCATTTTTTAAAAGTATCTTCCTAAATGGTATTCACTGAGCAAAAGCCATCTAGGACATCTTTATACTCTATTTATGATGATACCCCTAGTGCCTGGAGTACATACTAGCCAGCAGGTAACCCTCTCCCTGGCTGAGTCACTACATAAGGGTAGCCTGGCTGGGAGTGTTCTTCACTTGCCAAGATATCCACAGGGCCTTCAGGAATTTCTTTGATCGAATGATCTTCAAGGGTTAATGAAGGATCAAATAGCAAGGGTGAAGGAGGGCACTGCATACCATCACCCACAACATCCAAGTCCTAGGAAAAAAAGAGAAAAGCCTATCAGAAATACCAAGGGAACCAATCAGCTACAGTTGGCATATTTTTCAGCAAACCTCAACAGAATTCTCTGCTCCTTCCCTCACCCTTTGCCTAGCTTTAATCAAAAAAAGATTTTACTAGAATGTCCAAAAATGAGACTAGATGCAACAGCATTCAGAACTTTTTCTTACTTCCAAACACGAAACACAGACCAGTATAGTGGCTTAAAAAAGCAAATTCTCAGGAAAATCCATACAGATAGGACAACAGAATAGGAGAAGATAGGGGAAAGGGGGATGGGTGAGTTATTGTTTAATAACAGAGTTTCTATTTGGGCTGATGGAAAAGTTCTGGAAAAGAAAAGTGGTGATATTTGTGTAATACTTTACATATGTTTAATACCATTAAGCTGTACATTTAAAAATGGTTAAAATGATAGGGTGGTGCCTGTGGCTCAGTAGGGCACCAGTCCCACATACCAAGGGTGGCAGGTTCAAACCTGGCCCTGGCCAAACTGCAACCAAAAATAGCCAGGTGTTGTGGTGGACACCTGTAGACCTAGCTACTCGGGAGGCTGAGGCAAGAGAATCACCTAAGCCTAAGAGCTGGAGGTTGCTGTGAGCTGTGATGCCATAGCACTCTACTGAGGGCAACAAAGTTAAACTGTCGCTAAAAAAAAAAAGGAAATAAAAATTGGTTAAAATGATAAATTCTGGTACATACATTTCACTACAATAAAAAAATATTATTTATTTTTTGGTTCAGGACCTATAGCACAATGTTATATAGCCCTGCTGGCCACATGCAACAAGGCTGGC